TGTGTGGTCAACAATTGGGTCACAAAATTTAGATTTTAAGGGATCAAAGATGGAAATAATAATTTTTGGGCCTAAACGCATGTGCCACCTAATGATTTGGGTAATGTAAGGATTAACTAACATTGAAGGGTTTGGGATTTTGGCTAATTCTTCTACATGAAAATTGCATTGCCAATAATTTTGGACTGAGTGAGGACTTTGTTTGAGCCATAAAGTTTTCTTACTTTTCCATAACTAATTTACTACACTTCCTCCATAATAAATTTCATAACTTATGCCTCACAATAATCTCAAAGTTTAGGAAGAATAACGAACGCCGTTAGAGTGCTTTAGGCGCGTTTTAAATTTATTATCGTGATTATGTACACGATCGTGTAAAATAATTATGGTTCCCAAAATAAATCAAGGTACGAATTCGCGTGACTTTGGCCAAAAATAATCTTAATAAATAATAAAGCGTGATTAATTGTGTACACGTACGCGTGACATAATTTTAGCGCTCTAAATAAAACGGATTTACACACATGTGATCCGTTTTAAAGATAATTCCATATTTTAGTAATTAAAAGTGGATAGATAAAACATGGGAATCAAGAAATCACAGTTTATCCAAAATTAATTCAAGCTAAATTGTAGTCAATAAAGCGACCGTGCTAGAACCACAGGACTCGAAAAATGCCTTACACCTTCTCCCCGGTCAACAGAATTCCTTACCCAAACTTTATTTTTGCAGACCAATAATAAAAGAGTCAAATCTTCCTTTGAATAGGGATTCAAATAAAAGGTAACTTGGAACACCCAAAATTAAATTTCAAGTGGTGACTCTGAACAATAAAATAATCCCTACTTCAAAATTGTCATTTTAATTGGAAAAACTCTTTAACCCACAATAATACATAACACATATCTTTTGTGGGGTAAAAAAGGGGGTGTGATAATCGTCCAAACAAAATGTGGAAAAATACTTGGAGTGTGGACCAATGCGCTCAACTACATGAACATTGGGACTGTCTACGTCCTCAACACTAATGAAACTAGATTCAACTAAATATGTATCCTCAATATCCTTGGTTGACTTTAGTATCTCTTCTACAACATCGGCATCCTCAAGTTCTAGTTTGATTGATTGTTGGTATTCTACTCTGACCTCCTCCATTAGAACCTCAATTTCGGTATCTAATCATGCTCTTATTGGCTACTATCCACAATATTGGCTTGTTGAGCATTAAATATTTCAAGTAGTTGACTCACTTGTGCCTCCAAGTTTCGAATAGTAGCATCTTGCCTTTGAATGTGCAATTGTTGCTCATTATTTTTTTTCACAATGCACCTTAGCATATCCTTGATCTCTTTTATGTCCTCATCCATGAGTTCTTTGTTCCTATTAACTTCACAAAAAAAAAAAAGAAAAACCATTAACGTAAGGGGTTGGGGGAAGATAAGAAATATAACCACAACCATGAAAGTGACCATCTTGACCACCATACATATCACACACATTCCACACATAAGATTGAGTTGGTGAACAAAACTCGCTCTTGGGAATATTTTGATAATTTTGCCATGGGTGATTTCTTCCACAATATGCATAAGGAGGATCAAAAGTAGAATTACCAACATCAAATCTCTCATAATTCCAAGATGCCATGTTTCTAAAATCAACAATTAAAACAAAAAATTAAAAAAATCAAATACAAGAAAACAAAAACAAAAGTTCAAACTTGCAACCTAGCAATATGTACACCTACAACTACACCGTTAGTTCCCCAGCAACGGCGCCAAAATTTGATCACGTCCAAATATGCCTTATAAAACGGACTAAGCGGTCGTTGTAAATATAATCCGGTTTACAAGTCCGGAGTCGAATCCCACAGAGAACTAAGTCTTAGCTACAATTATTCAATATTAATAAGAAACACAAGTCCAAACAATTTTTTAGTTATAAAGATTGATTTTATTTCTACTAATTAACTAACAAATTTTATAAAGCAGTAAAATTATCAACTAACAAGGATGAAATTGGAGACAAAACTAAGGAGGTCTAGAATTATGATTTTTTCAATTGTCAGAATCCTTCCCACTACGTCTTCTGTAATTTTGCCTAAGTATTCTCTACCGACCGTGAGTACTTCGGGTGTCGTAATTCTCTCTCGAGCATCTACCACAATTTACTAGGTGTGTTCGCTCGAACTACGCAAGCTGGCACTAATTTACTACTCACTACGATCGCACCAAGGTTTCGTTTTCTTTAATCCCATCTTTAAATCCTCCGTATTGATCTCTCATAAACGTTAGGAGTGATGTTGTTCAACAACTACCTAAATGCGTACTCTCTCTCGAGCAATATACATACTAAATAGGCACAATTAAATGATGGCCATTCAATCAACAACAATAAACACGTAGTTGAATAAGTAGAGAAATCCAACGACTCAATTATATAAAAATATAACAATAATTTATCCTACAAAAGGTTCTATCAAATCTCTAGATAACAAATTAGCTATTCATAATAGTATGCAAAAAGAAAATACTAGAATTCATAACCAATAATAAAAATAGGAAGAAGGAAGTGAAAAAGTAATAGAAGAAATCTCTGCCTTGCTCCTGGTGTGTTCTTGCCTCCTTAGGTCGAAATCCCATCTCTAAAAACGTCCTTTTTTTGTTGAATCTGCCCTAAAAATGGCTCTCCCTCGTTCAGACATGTTTAGAGAGTATTTATAGGCTAGGGTTGAAGTCCAAATCCGGGTCGGAGTCTTTTAACCCGTGACTTTTAATTACCGTCCGCCGTCTGTATTCGCGAGGTCTGTAGCGCGGTCAACCTGGCTATAGACCTCGCGAAGCCTGGTGTATAGCGCGGTCAACCGGTAAACCTCATAAAGCCTGGTGTATAGCACAGTCAACCAGGCTATAGACCTCGCAAAGCCTGGTCTGTAACATGGTTTGGGTAGTTGGCATTTTTGTGCTCTTTTCTTGCATTTTCATCTTCTTTTTGTGGGACCTTCACTTGTCTTTGTCTTCCGATGCTCCTACACATAAAATAATATAATTTAGCTCAAATGTCGCACAATTAATCACTAAACCAATAAAATATAGGGCAAGTAATGTACTAAAAGTATAACATTTTGGCCTAACATCACTTTTTACTTCAAAATTCATCTTTTTGTTGTTATCGTAGGATTGAAATATTTCATAAATTCAAACTTTTTCTCTTTTGGTATAAAGATCAGGAAAGAAGAGCTAACCGAATGAATTTGTAAAATAAAAGTAGGATTTATAACAAGAGATGAAGAGAAGAGGATGGTGAGGTCCGTGGAGAATGAATTGAAAAAAAATGAGGAATGACCTGAGAGTTAGGTTGACAAGTGGACCGGTCCAGGCCCGGGACCGCGGCCCATGTGGGCTTCTAGGCCTAAACGGTCCTTAATCGGATAAGCCCGTGACCGTGGAGATGGCCGATCTTCTGGGCCGGTCCTTCACATTGAGCCTGCGAGACCGGGACCGAACCGGTCCTTGGCAGGACTAAACGGTCCCAAACGATCCCAACGGTCATAATTTTAAAAACAAATCTGATCGTCTGGGATTGCAAATATTTGGCCGTTGGCCTTTTAAAAAATAGTCGTTGGCTATTTATATAATAGCCATTTAATCCCTCCCCCCAACTTTATTTTAACCCTAAACTTTTTATTATTACACTTTTTCCCTTTTTTCAACTATAAATACCCCCTTATTCTTTTATTTTTCTCACAAAATCATCAATCTCTCTCTAATTTTCTTCTATAATTGCTACTATTGCTTACTTTATTGTTACAATTTGTGAAAAAATTGTGATGTTGGTGAATTAAAGTCTTCAAGTCTTCAAGTCTTCAACGATAATTAATTTTCAACAAGTTGTTCGTCAATTCGGTAAACTCGTTCCAATTCTTAATTTTTAATATTATAGTTTTGTTTGTTTTATTTATTTTTTATTATTTAATTAATTACGATGTCTTCCTTAAAAAAACTTTTTGGTAAAAATAAGGAAAAGTCCAAGAATGGCGAATCTAGTGGCCAATCTGTTCCTCCTCCACTTCCCCCGGCTCCCCGATCCAAACCCCGTACCCGTCCTACACCTGCTATTCTTGATAATGATAATAGTTTATTATAATTTACTAAGAGTCAATTTTGCCATAATGTTGGAGGTGGTGAACAATTAGACCATGAATTAATGAATGCTCTTTATTCTAATCCAACTATTGATGAAAATGATGAGGAGAAAATAGATTTTGATGAAACGCAACCGGATAACGATACACCCACTAGTCCTGCTCCTGAAGTTAACCCAACTAATGATAATCCAAATGATGCCCCGTCTGACCCTCCTGTTACTACCCCTACTTTTTCTAGACAACGTACCAATCAGACAGAAAAATCCATTGTTTGGCCTCTTGATTAGTTTTTTTTTCTTTTCAATGGTGGTATTAGCACCTTGTTGTGCTCATTACAAAGAATTGCCTTAGATATTTTTTATTACCATTTTTTTTCTCTAACTTTTATAAAAATTTTATAAAAAAAATCCGTTGGGACCACTTAGGCCCACTTGGACCCACTTAGGCCGAGACCATTAGTTTATGGGCCCGAGACCATTAGTTTATGGGCCGAGACCATTAGTTCATGGGTCCGGCCCCAGACCAATTCCTACAAAAAGACCACGAAGCCCGGGACCGTGAAACCCGTTTAATTTGGGACAGGCTAGTCTTACATGAGAGTGAGAGTAGGTGAAATGTGGCGGAAAAGTGATGGTGAAGGGTAGGGTCTACAGCTCCACGTGTCAAACGATAAATAGCCTCATTCAAGTATGATATGACATGTCTCACACATTGTAAAATTTCTTGTTAGGTTCAGTTGTCTGTTGCGTTTACTATAGTTTTGCCAAGAAAGTCATTTTCTTTCCCCCTCCTTTTTTGTGTTTATAACTTTAAATATTGGACGATTTTGAGAGTGGAAAAGCTGGTCGCAAGATGGAATATTGGTGGTTGTTGATCATTCTGTTTTTGGCAAATGGGCAGTGGTGCTGTTTAGGTTGTTGGAAAGAAGAAAGAAGTGCCCTCTTGCAACTCAAAGCAAATATAAACTACATAGGATCGCGTGGTTTTTTGTCGTCCAACGAAACCTCAGATTGTTGTCAATGGTTGGGAGTTGTTTGCAACAACAGCACAAGACGAATCGCTGAGTTGTCCATTACTGTCAGTGAAAAAGATATGTTGGATATGAATGATACTTTGCCGCTATTCAATGCATCTTTGTTTCTTCCCTTCAGAGATATCAGAGCTCTTCTCCTCCCTGGAAATTCTTTCGTTGGATGGGCTGAGACTGAATGTTCCTTCTTGCTATGCTTTCTTCATAATACTAAAATTCAAATGGAGGGAATTGACACTCAGATTTCATATAACTAGTTTGGGTTTGAGATGTAGTTATTGTTGTTATTGTTATATCTATAGACATGTTTGAATCCCCTACAGTTCAACATCGGATAAATTAGGATGATCACAATAATTTGAATTGTTGTAATATTAAGTTCAACGGTTAAATCTATTTGACTCTTGAGAAGTTAACAATATTTATATCTAAGTTTCTTGTTAATTTGGTTACAGGTTTCGAGAAACTGAAACAACTGAGGNTATCAAAACTATCCATTGATTTGGCTGTCTAAATTAACCTAATTTTTTTTATTCTGATTTGCACGATATGCATGTCATGTAATTTTTTGTGCAAACTGGATGAATCTTCGGAATTTAGTTACACGGAGTGCTTGTCATCCTTTATAAGGGAGTATTATATTTCCTACTTTTGTATTGATCTCTGATATATGTTCTAGAATTATGAACAGTATTTTTCACAATTATTGCTTAAAGAAAGACATCTCAAAATGATTCTTTTTGAAGAGTTTTTCAGGGGCATTATTATACAAAAAATGGTTAGCAAAAGTACTTAGTAGAGTGAATGATAGATCTTTAAGATTATTGTGTTAATAATTAAACAATTGATGACAAGAAGTTTAGTTTACTAGCCATTTTGGTTTGCATGATTCCTACATTTTCTGCTTAAGCAGCAACATAAAACATGTAATAACAATTATCCAATTGTTCATTGCATAGGCTTGTGTGATCTAAAGTATCTTGAAGAGGTAAGTCTCAGCAGAAACAACTTCATTGGAAGACTTCCTCCTTGCCTTGGAAACTTAACATTTCTTAGGGTACTTGATCTATCTCAAAATCAATTCATAGGTAACATTGCCTTGTCTCCACTTTCAAGTCTCTTGTCCCTAGAATATCTCTTGTTAGCAAACAACAACTTTGAAATTCCAATTTCATTTGAGTCATTTGCTAACCACTCAAACCTTAAGTTTGTAATTGCTGACTACAACTCAGTAATTGTACAAACTTCTTCTAAGTTAAGTTGGATCCCAAAGTTTCAATTGGAAGCCTTTTCTATATCCAACTGCTCTAAAATGCCAAGTTTCCTTCACTATCAACATGACTTGAGACTTCTTCGTCTCTCACAATCCAACATTGGTGGAAACTTTCCAAATTGGCTGTTAGAAAACAATTCTAGACTTGGAGAAGTTTACTTGGGTGGAAATGCATTCACTGGATCTCTTCAATTTCCATTCATTCCTAATCTGGAAGCTTTTGATATCTCAAACAACAAGATTCAGGGACAAGTTCCTCCTAACATTGGGCCGATTTTCCCGAATCTCGTGATATCAACAATGTCAAACAATATGCTTGAAGGAATGTTGCCTTCAAGTTTTGCTGACATGAAAAACCTTGAATGCTTGGATATGTCGTACAATAAATTAAATGGAGAGCTGCCGATAGGATTGGCTAGTAGAGGATCCAAGTTATATTTTCTGTGATTGTCGAATAACATGTTTAAAGGGGAAATATTTCCAGCATCAACTTACATCAACAGTTTCAAATACTTATATTTGAGGGGGAACAGCTTCTCAGGCTCAATTCCAAAAGAGTTGTCCACTGCACCCTTACATTCATTGGATTTAAGTTACAACAATTTGTCAGGAAACCTACCAGCCTGGCTTGGTCATATCCCCTCCTTAACCCACCTTTCGTTGTTTAGTAACGATCTAAAAGGTCATATTCCACCTGATTATTGTAGACTTGAAGGACTTGAGGTCTTGGATCTCTCCCAAAACAACATTGTTGGTTCAATTCCATCATGTTTCAGTGCTTCCCTAAACCTAAAACGTGTCTACTTGAGCCAAAACTATCTACAAGGGGAATTCCATATGTCCTCAAATAGCTCAAATTTGAAGGTGTTAGATCTTAGATATAACAACTTCACTGGTTCAATTCCAAAATGGTTGGGAAGTCTTGAGATTACCACCTTACTCTTGAAAGGAAACCGTCTTCAAGGCATCATTCCTACACAATTATGCCATGCAAGTGAACTTAGAATGCTAGATCTTTCTCATAATAATCTCTCAGGACCTATACCTCATTGCTTGGGGAACATAATGCGACGAGGAACGAGTTCAGATGTATAACCCTACACTCCATCATTTAACTATCCAGGATTTGAGATGTGGGGTAGAGATGCCATGGTATTTGTAGAAGATTCAATGGAGAGATCGACGATTTCCTTTCAAAAAAACTATGGATGGGTTGGATCAGATTTTACAACCAAGTATAATACCTATTCCTATGAAGGTAGCGTTGTTGATTATATGTCTGGAGTTGATCTTTCTTGCAACCAGTTAAGTGGTGAAGTGAACTCTGTAACCTTACTCAGATTCGTGCATTAAACTTGTCACACAACCACATCACTGGAGCAATACCATCAGAGTTCTCAAATCTCCAGAATATTGAAAGTCAGACCTATCATATAACAACTTAAATGGGGCGTTTCCCACTCAACTTCTAGAGCTAACAACTCTAGCAGTTTTTAGCGTGGCACACAATAATCTAACAGGTTCGACTCCACAGCGTAAAGGGCAGTTTGCAACTTTTAATGAAAGCAGTTATGAGGGGAATCCTTTTCTTTGTGGTCCTCCTTTACACAACAGTTGCACGGAAACTTTACAGATGTCGCCTCTTGTGCCAAATTGCTGCGAAGACGAGGATGCTTTTCTGGATATGGAGTCGCTCTATATTTCCTTTCTTATGTCGTATGCAAATGTGTTGCTCCTGGTTGTAGTCCTTTGCGCAAGCCCCTATTGGAGAAATGTTTGGTTTTCTTTTATTGAGTCTTTTATGTACTCTTATTACAATTATTTTGCTTCCAATATGTAAACCTTATTGTAAGTTCGATCACTTTAATTACATATAATACTTCTAGGGTAAATCATACTATATGTTTTGAGTTCTTTATACCTGCCTACCTTGCTGTTTCTTAAAACTTGTATATTGTTTTCGAGTTGCCAGTATCTGTCTTCAACATACATGCCAGAATGATTATTAGCTCTTGCTTGTCGATTGATACTGTCTTGTGAAAAACCATATGTCAGTAAGAAGAAGGTAAAGATTGAGAGATTTTGGATAACTGTATGTATATTGCTCCATAGTGACATACAAAATGAAATTCACATCTTTTTACTTCATTTATGCAATAAGTACAGTACTGATTGTTTTAATATTTCCTAGATAAGACATTTTAGCTCGTTTGACCACTTCTAGTCTGATGAGATCTGTTAACTCACAAGGTTTTATCACTTCTATTCGATTTTAGCCACTAGAAGAGTTTTTTTAAAAAGGTACTAAAACCTGTATGTAGTTTACATATATACCATCCTCGTAGAAATTAAATATTCATGCTTTTTTTAAGAGAAAATGATTTTTTTTTCTTATGTTTTTCTCTGGTGAAATTAAAAAATAGCCATATTTACAAGTGGTAATTGAAAAATAGCCACAATTTCAAAAGTAATCGAAATTTAACCACTTTTCATGTAAATAAATCTGAATGAAAATACTTTTCAAAATTCGAAAAATATTCCAGCATAATATGCTGAAAGTTCATACACAGGTGCTCAATTCTCCAGTATATTATGTTGGAACTTTTCGTGTTGCAGCAAAATAATGGCTATTTTTCAATGATTTTGCAAACGCTGGCTATTTTTCAATTATCAGTCCGAAAACTAGCTAGCCCATGTTATTTTCACATTTTTCTCCGTTAGTCTATTCAAAATAGTTTTATAAAGGGATTTTTACCTAGCTATACTGTATTAGAAACTTATTAACTACTTTTCTTTATGTTCCTTAAAAATTACATTGTGTATCTATATTTACTATTTATGTACAAAATCATGATAAAAGAAGGATCCCTTAAATATAGGGATTAATTTATAACAGTATCCCCCATCCTCATCTATCAGCTTAATTAGCCTCCTACAATCACGATTTTCTTCCCAATTTCAAAATATTTTTAAGTCATTCTCTCTTTCATACAAATCAACCAATCTCTCTCTCTCTCTCTCTCTCTCTCTCTCTCTCTCTCTCTCTCTCTCTCTCTTCCGATAGTGAGAGACTTTCCAGATGTATTTCCAGCGGATCTTCCTGGCATGCTGCTCGATAGGGACATCGATTTTTGGTATTGACTTGTTGATGATAAAAGGGAATACTTAGCTCCCGTTTGGCCATAAAAAAATTTGAGATTTTATTTTCAATAATGTTCGTTTATTTATAGATTTTAACTATTTTTGGCTTATTTTGAAAATAAAATCTTCAAATCCCAAAAACTGGTGAAAAAAGTTGATTTAAGCTTGGTTAAGTTTAAAGTTGATTTTTTGGTAGAACTTCAAATTGAAACTCGAGGAAGAAGAAGTTTCGGAATTGTATTACAATTATATGATAAATGTATCATAATTGTATCTGAATTGTATTTGATACATCAATACCTAAGACAATTCTGATACAATACTAATACTACTATAATATAATATTGTATCATAATTTAAGTTTAGAGTTGTTCTAGGTGGATGTTTTAGATTGAAACTTGAAAAAGATGAAGATCAAAATTGTATCATAATTAAGAATTTTATCACAATTTGTACCTAAAATAATACATTATACAATACTAATACTACTCTAATATAATACTGTATCATAATTTAAGTTTAGAGTTGTTCTAGGTGGATGTTTTAGATTGAAACTTGAAAAAGATGAAGATCAAAATTGTATCATAATTAAGAATTTTATCACAATTTGTACCTAAAATAATACATTATACAATACTAATACAAGTATAATACGATATTGTATCAGTTTAAGTTTAGAGTTGGTTTTAAGCTGTATCGTAATTGTATCAGAATTGTGTAAGAATTCTTTCAAGATTGTATCAAATTTGTATCTGAATTGTATTTGATGCATCAATACATGAAAAAATACTTGATACAACACTGATACAAGTACAATACAATCTTGTGTCAGAATTATATTAGTTTTTAGAGTAGTAACGTGTATAGGTAGAAAATTTTTAGATTTTCTATAATTACTGTGATGGATCTTCAAAATTGTATAGGATCGAAAATGTTAACGTACAAAAAATAACCATTTCTTTAGTTCAATTTCTATGGCGAGTATGGCTTCTTTTTTGGTTCAAGACTTTTTTTGTCCATGTATTTTTCTTGTGGCTTTTTATACTAGAAGTGAGTATCTTGTATAAATTTCGAGAAATCGAAAGAAAAATTTGGTGAAA